GCGATGGTTCCCCACCGAGTGCGCAAGTAGATACATCACATAATACTGCAACACGACACACTGAGAGTGTACCAGTGCAGACAGTGCCTCGTCGCAGTGGGAGGGTTTCTCATTTACCCGACCGATGGATAGGTCTTGGAGAGTCGTCAGACTCAGTTCCAGGAGGCCTAGAATCGGACCCAAGAACTTACGATGAGGCACTCCAAGATAAAGATGCAGATTCATGGAATGTTGCAATGAAAGCTGAAATGGGGTCAATGGACTCCAATCAGGTCTGGGATCTTGTAGAACTACCCGATGGGGTACGACCCATTGGATGTAAGTGGATCTATAAGAGAAAGAGAGGATTGGATGGGAAGGTGCAAACCTTTAAAGCTAGGCTTGTTGCGAAAGGTTATACCCAGATCGAGGGTATTGATTATGATGAGACCTTTTCGCCAGTAGCTATGCTTAAGTCCATTCGGATTCTCTTGGCTGTAGCCGCTCATATGGACTATGAGGTCTGGCAGATGGATGTCAAGACAGCTTTCCTTAATGGGAACCTGCAAGAAGACATCTATATGCAGCAACCAGAGGGATTCATTGCTGAAGGTCGTGAGCATCTAGTGTGTAAGCTTAATCGGTCTATTTATGGACTGAAGCAAGCTTCGAGATCTTGGAACATCCGTTTTGATGAGGTGATCCAGTCGTACGGGTTCACTCAATGTCCGGATGAGCACTGTGTTTACAAGAAAATCAGTGGGAGCGTGGTGGTGTTTCTTGTGCTTTACGTAGATGACATACTGCTTATTGGAAACAGTAAGAAGGAGTTATCAGACGTAAAGGTGTGGTTGTCTAAGCAGTTTGATATGAAGGACTTAGGTGAAGCAGGACACATTCTTGGTATTAGGCTCATTAGAGATCGTAAGAAGAGAATGTTGTGCTTATCCCAGTCTTCATACATAGATACTGTCTTGGCCAGATTCAGCATGCAGGATTCCAAGAAAGGTATGTTACCTTTCAGACATGGAATACCTCTATCTAAGGAGATGTCTCCTAAGACGTCTAAGGAGATAGAGGAGATGAAGACAGTTCCTTATGCTTCGGCAGTAGGAAGTCTCATGTATGCTATGCTATGCACTAGGCCAGATATTAGCTACGCCGTTGGCATGGTAGCTAGATATCAAAGTAATCCAGGACGGGAACATTGGTCTGCGGTGAAGCATATACTCAAGTACCTGAGAAGGACTAAGGAGTACATGTTAGTTTACCGTGCAGGCAGCTTGTTACCTCTGGGTTACAGTGATTCCGATTTCCAGTCAGATAAGGATGAAAGTAAGTCAACCTCAGGTTATGTGTTTACCTTGGGAAGTGGAGCCATTTCATGGAGGAGTGCTAAGCAGAAATGCGTGGCAGACTCCACCATGGAAGCCGAGTACATAGCAGCCTCAGAGGCAGCGAAAGAGGCAGTTTGGCTCAGGAACTTCTTAGTGGACTTAGAGGTTATACCGAGTTTGCCACGTGGTATCACCGTGTACTGTGATAACAGTGGAGCAGTAGCGAACTCAAAAGAACCTCGAGCCCACAGGGCAAGCAAACACATAGAGCGCAAATACCATCTGATTCGGGATATCGTTGGTAGAGGAGACGTTGATGTTGCCAAGATTGCATCAGAGGATGCATGGCAATAGGATCGACATAGGTCTTTTAGAATAACGGATTGATAGGACTATACTGTAAAAGCGAAAGCTTTAAGTATAAGTGGGAGATTGTTAGTGTTATATACTGAAAGCTTGGCTTTGCATGTTATTACACATTTACCCTTTATGAATGAGAATCATGTTAGATTAAACAAGTTCTACGTTCTGTTGTTCTGCACTTAGATAGGGTGGGTCGTCATCGGGCGAACCGAAGATCACTCTATCAGTCACTTGCGAACAAGAATAGTTGTTCACAACCTAGATGGACATGAACACCCCATCCGAACGGTTGTAGTGTCAACTGTACAGTTTGTCTTGACTGATTAGTTGCACTAGTACATTTATGTATTGAACAGGATCCCAGAGAGGAGAAGTTCATTTTATACTGATCGTCGTAAATGAACTAGGCCTCGGTTAATTACTGCGTTCTCTTAACCCGTAAGATATTAAACAGGCAGATATATATAATATATATTACTTTGATTCACATGGGTGAGGTTCAGTTCGCTGGATTAATATTCCTACTGTTTTGGGTAATATTATTATATATAGGATGTGCTGTTAGGATATTTACGGTCACCATGTGCGTTAGTTTGATGATGTCCCCGGAGTGAGTTCATGAAGGATTGTTATGCTAAACCCTGCAGGTGGATTAAATTCCGGCATAATAAGAATGTGATGAACGAGCGCTAGCTTCGGTGAAATAATAATAAATTAATTAATTCTTGATTGTCAGTAATCGAATTAATTAATGGACATTATATCTTAAACGTGGGGAGGTAAATCGAGTAATTATTATTGGAGTCTCAAATGTAATTTGGGCTAGGGAAAGGGAGTGCAATAATATAATGTTGGTGGCCCATTAATATTATTTAATTAATTAGAGGAGTGGGTTTGGCCCACAGTTAGTCTAATTAATTAAGGAGCCCTTTTCCTAATCTCCTTAGGGTCCCTACTGTAGCTCTATATATACATCATTAAGCTCATGAGAAGAGAATAGAATTCATTCTCACGTGAAACACGCCTCTCTCTCTAGATCTCATTCGAGCTTTATCTTCTTCTTGTTGCTCCACTGGTACAAGTTGAAGAAGGGTGTATTGAGTAATACAGTAGAAGATCTGTAGGTAAACCGAGACGAAATTGATTTTGACCTACAGAACTAACCGGAAGTCCGATTGAGACGTACAGTATACCCAGACGACCGTCTCGACGAGAGCTTTCCATCGCCGCCGACGTCGCCGGAATCCGACGCCGCACGCGCCCTCACGCGCCGCCGGAAGGTGTCTGGCAGCAAAATTTCGTTTTGATCTGTTTGCATCCGTTTGATCCAGTTTTGATCTGATCTTGTTCGTGCAACCCAAGACGCGTGTTGCGGTCAATCAATTGCGGTCAACCGTTCGTGGTCAACCAGATCTACATAAATTTTAAGCCGTAAGTTCTCTACGTCAAACCTTTAGATCCGCTGCGCATAGGTTTACGTTTGCTATTGAATTCGTGATTTGTACATAACGAGATCCTCACAGATCCCAACAAGGTGTTCTTTGCGTTAGCACTCCGATAATAAAGTCGGCCCACAGTGATGAAGATGATGAACATTTGATATATAAACTTGTAAGTATATTAGAGTGTGTGGAGTTTGAATAGTCATACCTTACCCCTTTATATAAGGATGTTATCATGTTACCCAAGACTGCTTGGACTGCCTGAGTACCCTAACTGACCGTTCATACTGCTCAGGTGCCCGAACAGCCCAATTTTGTTAGGCCTTTATTTCACACGTTGTTCTTATCCAAATTATATTTCTTCTTATTCATTAGTTTGCCCTATTAGACGGTGTGATCATACAACCAGCTCGGTTACCTCGAGCTAGATTGCCTTCTCGCCGTGCTCATACACACTGTCTTTCAGGTCGATACGTCGACCTGTAGTTTCTACCAGACCATTCGAGGGTCTTAGATCGACCTGTCGGTAATCCCATATACTTGCGTTGTCAGCAGCGACCTAATGCCTCACCGACCTCGGGTACATTCGATCTCCGATCGACCTGTCGTTTCATCTGGTTTAGTTAGACTTCTCGGGTCGAGCTGACCCAACATGATATCCAATATCATAATAATTTGTTAAGTATTATTTAATTATATTAATAATATTAAAAGACTTAAATTAAAATATTAAATATCTTATTTGAGTTAAAAAATTAAATATAACCGTAGTTCTTCCATGGAACAAAAAATATTCGGCCAGTAAAAAAAATATTTCCATGGCTATGGTCAACATCCGCACGGCTAGAAAGTCTAGAATATCTATTTATCTACTTGTTTAACCCGACCCGTTTTGTAGTGGCTCAAAGCCTCAAATTATTATTCGCGTGATATCTATTTATCGACTTGTTTAAATGGTTTTTTTACCCGACCCGTTTTGTATTGGCTCAAAGCCTCAAATTATGACTCAACTGCTATTCACCGCCACCCTTTTACTTGTCACCGCCCCCCCCAATTACTCTTTTGCCCTTAACCTTTTTTTGGATTTCATCTCTCTAAACTTTATCTCTCTAAATTTTCCGAACTTCAACGAACGATTCGAGCATAAAAAGAAATCCGAAAAAATGTCGAAAAAATTCTACGGCCTCGGCAAAGGATTCTTCTCCGACAAGGTATTTTTTTTTTTTTTTTTTTGAGCCGAACTATTTTTAAAAAATTTTTTGAAAACCTGTTGAACCGTCCGGCCGGCGGTTCCGG